CCGCGGGGCCGCGCGGAGCCGCCCGGGGTGGCGGAGCGCCGCCGCCGCCGCCAGCAGCGCGGCGCGGCTGTGCCCGGCTGGGAGAGGCAGCACAGCGGCGGCGGCCCGGCGCACACACACACAGACGGGCGGGCAGGCTGCCTCGCACACCGCGAGGGGAGGAGCCGGGGCGGCCCGAAGCCGCGGCATGGAGCCGCCGCGGCAGCACCGCCGGGATCCGGCGGAGCCTCAAGTCCCCGCCGGGAGCGCGGGGAAGTTTAGCTGGAAGGAGGAACTGCAGGGATGCGGGGAGCGGCGCGGCTTCGCGCCAGTGAGAGACCTGGAGAGGCCTGGCTGGGGTCGGAGAGGGGGAGAGACAAGGGAGAATAGGGGAGAGAGTTAAAAAAAAAAATAAACAACGAAACAACACACACACAAAAAACCAGGCACCTATAATCCTATAATTTAATTGCCAAAGCCAGCTCTTGCGTGTGGACAAACCTGTCTGCACGGACATGGCAAGGCCAGAGCTCCGGGTCAGCTGCACTGGGAGATGAAGGATGGCAGAGAAGGGTCAGAGCAGAGTCAGACCCGGGCAGCGCGGGAGGGCTGGATGAAAAAGGCCTCGTGAGGTCTGGATCCAGGGGAGCACCCCGCTCTCCCCGCTGGGATGATGACCCTTCCCGCTCGCCCTGCACAGCTCACCTGCAGACATGAGTCAGTACAGGGGCATCCCAGAGCCCCCTACAAAGCCCACCCCACTCCCCCCACCAATCCCAGGGAGAAGACAAGCACAAGTCCCAGGCTGCCCATACACAGAAGTAGAAAGGGGCCCACTGCTCCCTCCATCCCCTAAATGAAATTATTCTCTACTCAGATTCACAGTTTCGTATCTGAATTGCCTTCTTAACAGTAACTGATATCTTATGACTTTTTACATCACTTTTGTATTTATAATACTTCAAATACATATACCCACTGAGCAAACAAGTGCATACATTGGTTTTGGAAAGAGAAGACCAAAGCCATCCTCATTTTTACTCCAGTCTTCCATAAAACCAATCACTCCCTGAACTTCCCTGCAAGTCTTGAGGACTTGGTGAAATTTGAAATGACCCTTATTTTGGTAAGGTCCCATCTCCACAGCTGTGTCACAGCCCCAGGAGACTCAACACAGCTGGTCACAGCAGCCAGCTCTGCCACCACAGAAAAGGCTCCAATGAACCCTCAGGCAGATACATCTTTATGGTATTCCTGAGAATTAAGAAACAAATCTGAGATTATAAATTACATCACTAGCAGAGCAGCTAATGAAATCCACAATTTTTTGCTTTCCTAAGGAGTACACAATTGTTTTATAAGCGCTATTGTGTTAAAATAGGAAAAGCTGTGGCACTGTTAGTGGAAGTCAACCATGATAGAGTTCATCTTGGGCTTCACTGCAAGATTCACATTTGCATCATGTGTCTTGTGGCCCCCCAAAGGGAGGGACCTTAGGCAAGGCTGCACTGCTGACAGTCCACGCTCATGCCCAGCAAACCCCAAAGCACTGCTCCTCTCCCTGCCACAACAGGCAGGTAGGTGCACACAGCATTTCCTTTCTAGTCTCTGTTTTCACCACTGACTCAAACACACTATTCTGGCCCTCAAGCATTAAAATATCATTAATTAGGCCCCTCTCTTCACTGTTTCTTATTTTAGCATCATTGTTGGCTTTAAAGGCCCCATTCAAAATCATATTTTGTGGCCATGTACAGACCAATGGGAGGTGGAGTCACACTTTTGAAATATTTCTCCAGACACAGGTACAGAGAGGTTTTTTTTTAAAAAAATACCATTAGTAAAACTAAAAGCCTAGTCTGCCACTTAATCACTTGCATTCAATATCTTGCCTATTTTCAGTATATTAAACTTCAACCATTAAACTCAAAGAACTTACTAAAAGCACTGAGACTTGCAAAAGGTGGCAGTTCTGTTTTCTGTTTTCGCAGAGGGTCTTTCGGCTACCATCTGGTCACCCCTGCACCAAAGCAGCCTGCAAGAGGCCAAAGGCTCTTACCCAACAGAAAGAAAAATCACTTCCCAGGTATAAGCACCTTCACTTTCTTAAAGCAAACTCTTTTCAATTCTTCAGAAACTAGCAAAAGATGCACAGAACAGATCCTGAAAAGGAACTCATTCCAGCAAGGGGTAGGAGATCCTTCATCACCAAGCAAATCTCTTGTCCCCATGCCATGCAATAGCAGAAGTAATCAATCTCCTCAGAAGTTGCATGTTTGGCACCTGGAGTTCTCCAAGCACCCTGTGCCCTCAGGTCTGTAACAGTTTGTGAATGAAGCAGCTTTTTACAGTCAGTTACAGTTTGGGGTTTTTTGTCAGTTTCAAACAGCTTTTTGCAGTCAGTTTCAAACCCCTAAGGATGCACCTGAGTGTCACCACTCTGGACACCCAGCCCACGCTCCACTGAAGCCCTGTGACACACACACATCTGTTACCACCAGGGTGGAGGAACAGTGCTTTGCCCAGCCCTCTCCCCAGGGATACAGCAGCCCTGCTGCCAGCAGCCACACTTGGCTACAGGTGACCTGGACACTGAGCTGGCCTGCTCACCGAGATCTGGCCAACAGAAGCAAAGGGCTGAGGGGACGTGTCTGGGTGTAGCCATTCCCACAGTGCTCAGCTGCTGGCACAGGGATCCAGCACCTTCTACAAGGCCCCAGCTCAGAGGCAAGCGCGAGCATGAGGCTGTCCCAGCTCTGGCTCCACGTACAGTGAAGGGTTCATTTACCTGAACTGCCAGGAATAGAAAATTCAGCTGCCCTCAGCCTGACCTCTTTTATAGCTATAGTTATAGTGGAAAATAAAACTGCAGTTCCCAGCACCTGCAACAGCTCAGAATGGGGATAATAAGATCAGCAAGGCCTCTTGGCCCTGTGCACTGTGGCCCAGTCCTGCAGCCTGCTACAGAATGGAGCCTCAGCACAGCTCAGCTCAGGCTCTGATTTTGCCTATGAGGCTGCAGGTGGAAGCCCTGCTGCCATTCCATCAGCCTGGCCCTGCCCTCTGCCCTTTGCCTGCTGCCCTGCCCCTGCCCCTGCCCTGCCTGCTCTACAAGCCCAGAGCTGGCTTCACAGCAAGATGCTCCTCGTGGGTGGCTTGGGTGGTTGTCCTCATTTAGGGTTAGAGGAGAAGGAGTCCTGCTGGAGTGTCTCTCTGATGAAGGCACAGATGCCTAGACCCCTCTGATAGCTGGTATGGCCGAGGCATGGATGGACTCACAAGCTGAAAACAATTTGCAACTACTGCAGCTGCTAGGGTTGCACCAAAACAGTCAAACTTCCCCCCTCCTTCATCAGGTTCAGCAACAAACAATGGAGAAGAGAGTTTGAAACAGGGAAGGGACATCCCAGCCTCATCCTTTCTCTTTCAAGCCTACCTACATCCCTTGATAATCTCCTTACCCAAAGTACATTTGTAACCTGTATGCAAAGGGACATAAAAAGGCAATGAGAAAAATGTGAGCTAGTAACAAGGGCCTGTGTAGTGCTTCAAAGGCCAGGGTGCAGCTGCCACCATCTGCCCCAATGTCCCTGTTCCTGAAGGAGGAGAGATAAGACTGTCCATGGTGGGTCAGATGAGACAGGCAGAGGCCAGCAGTCCACAGCCACAGAGGCAAAAGTTAACTGAACTGCACCCCTCGTGACACAGCACGGAAACCTTTTTTCTGAGAACACTCCATTTTATCCAAAGGAAAGCTTATTTTCCCCCAAAACAAGAATAATGAAATCACAGTTTTCTATCCAGAAAATGTTAATGGAAAATTTGTGCCCAGCTATGAATACAGATTGGAGATATTTGGATTTCTGAGGAAAGGAAGGTCAAGTCATTTTCACAGTGTGAAAAATGAAGCTAACAGAGTTCATATTTCTCTGTGAAGCAATGATTGATTTTTCTTTCTGTGCCTCATTCATACAGCACTAAACATGTATAGAGAACAAACTTACACCTTAGATAAAGCACACAGATTACATTAATATATTGAAAATTAGGTTAATATTAGCATCTGTTTGAAGGTAGGAACAAGAAAATTTAGCTCAACTCTGTGAGAACAGGC